TGGCCTTTCATTGTGGCTAACTCCATCTGCATGTCCCACACAGCCACATCACTGCATTTGGCATCCTGACTAACAATGAGTAACATAAAGGCACTCACAGTACTTTTTGGATCAACTCTATGATGTATTTTCCTTAAGCCACCTTGGGGCAAGCGCAGCAGCAGCACATTGCTGTGCTGCAGACACCCCACGGCATCACTCTGGATGGGCACGACATGTGCCCTGACCTCTGCTGCTACTCACGGGCACGTATGTGCCCCTGCCCTGGCCACATGCAAAGCTGCTTCTGCAGCTCTCCCTCATCCCACCAAGCAAGCACCTAAGCTTCAGTATGTAAAATGTTAACCCCCACATAGGGAGTAAGCAGCGAGGAAGCTACCTCTCCTTTATGATACATAAGAGCAAGGAGAATCTGTGTCCTTGGCCAGGTATCTGCTTTCTCCAGTCCTGTTTAAATTATAAGATAAATGCCAGCCTGCCTCTATTACTAAACGCAAGGAATAAAAAGATGGCTTCTGCTACATACTAGACTGATTATAGACCACAGGCTGCTCTAGCTATGGTGACTCATTGCCTTGAAATGATTGCCTAGGAAAGCCAAACATGGGGGTTACTCTCTGGCTCTGAGCACCACACTTGCTTGTCTTCCTTTCCACTAAAGTGCCCAGGCCCAACTGAATACAGGATTTCTCAGGCACCCCATCCATACCCCATACCCCAAAAACTAGTATCCTTAGCTAAAAGGTGCTTTGGAAATTTACACTGCCTTACAAGGTACTGGCACATTAACAGCAACAAGGAATGCAGAGAACGGAGCATATCAGATGTCTTGGAGGTGTGATATGGGAAAGATGTCCTCTTCTAGGAGTAGGTACCAAAACTCCTGGCAGTCGTCACCAAAAATCAACTACTTCCAGCATGTTGTGGAGGATCCTCTTTTGTCTTCTTATTCAAAATAGTATCTAGAGAGCTGTTCCCAAGTTTTATAAAATACCTCAGTACTTGGGATGCCTTCCATCTCCATCTTTCCCTTTCTCCCCTTCTCTCTCACACATACGTGCATAGATTTTTGAGTACATGTGCCCCCTGCCAAGACACCAAGACAAACTCCCACTTCCTTTTTCTTCTCCTGACCACATAACTCCTTATTCCTTTCTTGACATCACCTGACCTCAAAAAAAAAAAAAAAGAGAGAAGAAAGCACACTTATACAAATGGTCTGACACTAAGATGTCCCCAGGGGCTGTATCCTATAAATCCATCTCTTGAAGGGAGGCAGCTCTTCTCCCAGACTTTCATTGCCTGGACAAGAAGTCCAGCCAGTGCCTATCCCACTTCCTGATTGCCACGGATCTCCCAGCATGACAGGAGCTCCCGTGGCCAGAGCGGGCACCCTGGAACAGGTCCTTCCTCATTGTGAGTAGCCCTGAGCTCCTCTGTAAAAGGAGTTCAACCCCTGTTTTTAAAAGATGAGACCACAAAGGCAACTACAGTTACAGCCAAGCCACATTACAGTTATTATTTCTTTTAAACCCTAGGCTTTATTCTAAATTGATTTTCACTTCAGCCCAGGAAGTGCCAGATCTTCTGCCCACCTCTGAATGAGGACCAGCTCTAACCTCTATCATTATAATGGCCACGCATTGGGCAGGGGAGAGACAGGACCCAATGACACTCGTTTCCTAACGCTGTTTTCCTCAGTGCTGTTTTGAAGTGCCATCATAACACTAAACAACTTCCACACTCAAACACAAGAGCAGACCATGCTCAGGAACTCATAGTAGTCATTTATGAGGCACAAGGGTGAGACAGAAACAAGCCTGCTTAGCATTACTCTTATGCATTTTATGTCTCTCAATATTTTTAGGAAGCCCTCCACCCCCTGAGGCAGAAAAAGATAGTAGCTTTCTGTACAAACACAAGACCCACTCTAAATAAGCTCCTTACCACTCATAAATACAGAAGAAAACAACTCAGGTTAAGATTTCCTCCAACAGTACCCCTGAATAAAACTGACAGTAGTACTTTACCCAGTTATTCCAGCAGCTCCTATCCACTTTTTCAGCAAAGAGCTTCAGAAACTTCAGTCCAACCCACGCACCTCTAATTCCTCTCTCCACTGTCTTCAAATCCTGCTCGTGCTAATAAGCATCACCTGAATGAGCCTCCTGCCACAGTGAAGCAGCAACTGCAGCAATTACACCAGGGCTTCTGCTCTCCCATGTCAATTTGTGGGTCTGAATATTCCCTTGTTTTTACTTTGGGCTGCTGCATATATAATGTACCCGAAAATATTTTCAGCCAACTTTTACAATACTTGGAGTTTATCATATACTTCTAATCCCTTGAATCAAGTGATTAAAAAAAATAATCCTCAAAATAAATTGTTAGATGCTACCAGCACTCACAGTTGCAAAGTTTGAAAATAAGAGCCGTTTTGACTAAATGCTCAGAAGTTAAATAAATAAAGACAGCCAAAAGGTTCAAAACACCTTATTTTTTTTAGAACTATCCCACGATTTTGTTTTATTTTACTCTAAAAGCTCAAATCCTGGTTTTGTTGGGGTTTTTTTGGTTTTGTTTTTTTTTTAATGGCTGCAGCCCTCAACAACTGATATGCAATAGGCATTTTAAGAAGCAAATCTAGAGTTTGAGCGGCAAGCCTCCCACACAATACGTGTACCCCAGGTGGCTGAAAGCCAGTGCTTGTAAAGGGACTTGCTGACATCAGGATGTCCCCCACTGCAGAGTGGCTTGGACAAGCAGGATTCCTTTCAAGACCTCAAGCAATTCAGACATTGATCCCATCAAGCTACCATATGTCAAAACCAATACACCATTTAGTTTTGTCTACATGCCACAAATTCACTCTACCATTTTTAACTCCCTATTAAATGCCCGCTCTTTCCCTTCAGCAATGACTCCCACCATTTGTTTAACCCCTAAGTCCATCATTCTCCTGGGTAAGGAGCCATTAAAAGTGTCAGATATGTACACAGATAGAAGAAATTGAATCTGCATGAGAATTGAACCTCAACAACTGGGACTCTTTTTGGAAGGTCATGTGAGCTTGTATGTGGGTCAAAACACAGTACAGGAAATGCTTCAAATATTTGCTTAAAAAAATACAGTTTAAAAGAAGTACCAATTCTGTGTATCTGCTTTTGAAATTTTACTTTAAAGGAAAGAGCACTTGCAGTTGACTCCAAATTGAGCTCAGGTCTTCAGCAAATGTTTATCCCTTGGTTTGTCATTGAGTCAGACAATAAATCACACTTCTCAGAATCACTCTGATTCAGAGGAGTCCCAAATGGGCTTTGCAGGTGGCCTCAGTGAACTTTCTGGTTGGTCCGTACTCCTCCCAGGGCTTCAGTATTCTGAAATTGCACGTCTTCTTCAGGAAGCTTTTTTTTGGCTCTTTCTCATTGCACAAGGACTTTCTCCTGAAAGTTCCCTTGCTTTCCAACACACTTCTGAGATCTCTCCAGGTCTTTCTGAGCCCTCTCCTGTTCCTCCAGGGCTTTCTTCTGAGCTTTCTCTTGCTTACACAGGAGCTCTTTCTGAGCTCTCCCAAGTTCTTCTAGGGCCTTAATTTTTTGCTTTTTTCCAGTTCATCCAAGATTTTATTAGGTTTGTTTTGTTCATTCTTAGCTGTCTCCTGCTCCTCTAAGGCTTGTTGCTGTGTTTTTGAAAGTTCTTTCAGGATTTCCTGTGTGCTCTTGTTCTCTGGCAGCCCTTATTTGAGCTCTCTCCTCCTCCTCCACAGCTTTTCTTTGTGATAGCTGCAGTTCCTCTAGAGCCTTCTGAGCTCTCTTCTGTTCTTCTAATGCAGTCTTCTGAGCTCTTTCTTGTTCTTGTAGGGCCTTTCTATGAGCTTTCTCCAGTTCCTCCAGACCATTTTTCTGAGCAATCTCCAATTCTTCCAGGGCCTTTTTCTGAGCTCTTGCTAGCTCCTCTAGGGCTTTTCCAACTCCTTTTTCTTCCAGGCATTTCTTCTGAGCTCTCTCACATTCATCCTTGGCTTCCTTCTGTTTTTTTATAGTCCTACCAAAGCATGCTGTTGAGCTTTCTCCAGTTCCTGCAGAGTCTTCAACTGCTTTCTCTCTTCTTCCAACAACTTCTGTGCATTCTCCTATTGCTCCAGAACTTTCTATGGGGCTTTCTCCTCCTCCTCAAGCCCCATCTGTTGAGTTTTAAACTGCTCTTCCAACTCCATCTGTAAAGCAATCAACTGTTGCTCAAGTTCCAGGTACCTCACTGCCTCCTGCAATTTTTTTTTGCGCCATACTCTCCTGTTGCTCTGTCACCTCCTGTGGTGTGCTCTCCTCAGCTAACATCTTCTGCTTGACTTGTATCTGTTCTTTCTTCATGGACTCTTCCCAAGGTTTGTCCTTCTCCTGAGAGCTGTCTTGTTCCTCCAGGGCTGCTTTCTTAACTCTTTCCATATCTTTGGGGGCTTTGTTAGTTCTTCATCCTGCCTCCTTTGCCTCCTTCTTCATCCCCTCTGCTACATTCATAAAGTCGTCTTCCCTTTGCTTTCTTTCCTGTACTCTTCTCTGAACTTCTGTTAACATGGAATTGGTGCCTTCATTGTAACCCAGTTGGCAGGCCAGTTCAAGGCCTCTGGCAGCCTTGTGCCAGTGACCCAGGAGCCGGAATGCCTTCCCTCACCAGTGGTAGGGCTGTGGAGAACCAGGGTTGATTTTTATTGCTTTGTCACAGTCCCTAATGGCAGCTAGTGGTTTCAGCAACCTCAGGTAGACACTGGCTTGGCTCACATATAAAACTGCAAGTTGTGGGTTGAACCTGATGGCATCAGTGAAGAACTCAACTGCTCTGTGAAATTCACCTGCTCTCAGTGCATGAAAGGCTTCCCTTTCCTTTTCCATGGCCCATTTCATCATCTTGTTAGCTATCTTCAGGTTGTTGTCTCCTATTTTCTGAAGATCTTCTCCAGCCAATCCTTCATTTTCAGTATTGAGTTCACTGTCCTCAGTCTTTTATTCTCCACTGGCCTTTTCTTCCCCCTCAGCTCTACATGGATCTTCCCTGTAAAACTTATTCTCTTCTACTGGATATGGCTTTTGCTCAGATTCCCTACAAGAGTCATTATCAGCTTCCTGGGAGGTCCAAAGGTGAACCTGAAGCTGTGCTTCTTCCTTTTCTTGAGAAGTCGGAACCCGATCCCTCTCCTCTTCTGCCATAGATTTCCCTACCCTTGGCAATACATCCAATGGTTGCTTTGTGTTTTGTTTCTCATACTTTTTTTTGGTGCCTGGAAATTTTCTGGACTCTTCTCTGAACCACCTACAACATGTTATTGGTATCTTCATCATAGTCCAGCTGGCAGGCCAGTGCAAGGTCCCTGGCAGCCTGCTGCCAGTGATCCAGGAACTGAAATGCTTTCCCTCTCCACTTGCATGGATGTGCGGAATTTGGGTCGATTTTTATGGCTTTGTCGCAGTCTCTGATAGCAGATTTGGCTTTTGCAATGGTACAAAGACACTGGCTCAGTTGACATACAAAGCACTAAGCCATGGGTTCAGTTTGATGGCATCAGTGAAGAGCTGAACAGTGTTTTGAAATTCACCTCTTCTCACCGTATCAAAAGCCACCTTTTCTTTTCATCAGCCTGCTTCATCATATTGCTGGTTACCTCCAAATTCTCATCTCCTATCTCTGGGGGTTCATCCTCTTCTGGCTCAATCTCCCCTTCCTTGCCTGTCTCCAACTCACGCTCATCCCTCCCCAGCTCTTCACTGGACTCTTCCTCCTCTCAAACTTTGCCTGAGCCTCAGAATCTAATTTACAAGCCAAGGAAATGTTACAGGCAACCTCTTTTAAATGCCCCAAATGCTGGAGGGCTTTTCCTCAGAATTTATAGGCCTGTGCTGAACTGCTCTGTCACAGTCACTAATGGCCACAGTTGGCCCTTGCAGCTGCAAAAAGACACTGGCTCTGTTAATGTGTGAGCTGGCAAGGTGTGGATTCAGCTTGATGACACCAGACAGCATATCAACTGCTTTCTGATTTTCACCTTTAGCTAGGAAATCAAAGGCCTCTCTTGTTCTTTCAATAATCTGCTTCATCACCTCCTCTGATAGCCCTAAATTTTGTCCCTCTTTTTTTTGTGGATTATCTGTTTGTGGATCAGTTGTCTTCTCGTTAGCATTTTCCACACTGTGCTTGCCCTCATCTTCTTGAAACTTTCCTGCTGCTGTAACTAGCTTCTTTACATCTGTTTTGCTTGAAGCAGAGGGTAAGTAATTTTCTGTACTTTCTATGGATTTCCAGAGAAAGAGATGATCCTCAGAATTTAGAAAAAGAAGGGTCTGATTTTGCCATTATTTTCCTTGAAGGCATGGTGCTTGGATCCCAAAAGGATAATATGCAGGATTTGTTGTCACTGAAAGCAGAGGAAGAAAGATAAGATGAAAAACAGCTTACCTGAGAGGTCTGATTATTAAGTTAGTTCCAGGTATATGTGGCAAGCTTCCTTATTCTTCTTCCTTTTGTTGTTTTGCTGATGGATCTAATTAAGGGGTTAAGGCCAGCTGCAAGGTCCCAATGACTTCAAGAATTAGAATAGAATTTGTCACTTCATATATTGTGTCACCACTGGAATCCTGAGATGGCTTCTTAAAGTCATATCACACAGGATCACACCCTGTAATCTTTCTTCTTCAGTTTATTGAACGTTTCATGCATCACAGCTATACGTGTGTACATCTGTGTGTGTATTCCTGTTACAAAGAGCAGACACAGGACTGGAAAGTCTATTTATTTGTTTTCCCATTTAAACAAAAACATCTTTTATGAGCCACAACCAACATGAAGGCAATAACAGCTGGGTAAGAATTTTGTGTTTAGACATGCTTTGGTCAAGTATTTTCCCTTATAAATGAACAATGAAAACTAAACAGCTTGTCCTGACAATAACACATGCCTATGGGGAATATGAAGACCAAAAAAAATGTGCAGCACAGTTGCATGGGGTATCCTTTATTAGGACATTTTCCAAAAATTTGTACAAGTAACTTTAGAAAAAGTTTATATATTTGCTCCTCAGCAACACCTTTATAGCTCCAAAGGTCATCGGAGAGACAATTTAGCTGCATCCAGAAGAGCCAAGAAATCTTTTTGACACACAGAAAAATCTTAGACGTATTGAAAAGACTCTCAAGCTGAGTCCTTGAATATCCTTACTTAACTTTCATACTAATTTGGGGCTGATGAGCCTCCTTTTCAGTTGGAGCCCCTGGCCAATGTTTGTTCTTAGTGTAGATTTGGCTCTAAGGCATCCAACAGGTTCTGTCAGGCTGGGCTGGCACTGTATGGTGCTAAAAGGCAGGCAACTACTCTAGCTCACGAAGTTTTTTAATGCTTCTTTTCAGATAAAAAGTTTCTTCTTTTTTTCCCCCCATTGTTCCTAAAAGCCACCTGTTTACTTCTATCAATTTCAGTAGCTTACTATCCTGTCCATCCTATAAACACCCAGGTCTCAGTCATTGTTTCTTTCCTTTCACCCTTGCTTCTGATCTTCTCGATGTGCTGCTTCCCTTTTCTGAAACACCGAATTCTGGAATCCTATTTCTTAACCCATGGTTTTCTTCGCATACCACTGGCCTTGAAAAAAGCATGTGGACTCGAGGCTACATAGCTTTTGTTATTTCAGTCCTTGAGCCACCCTTTCTAATTTTGCTAACAAGTCAACTTAGAATTATGTTTGCACAATCTCTGCAATATTGATCAGTGTATGGATAGCAAAACTTAGCAAACCCAGAGCAAAAATGAACACTCCAGATAGGCTCAAGAATTAACACTGAGGCAACAGAAATTTGTTTAACTTGCCCCACCTGCCAACAAAATACAGTTAACCTAAATAAACTAAATCTACTCTTTTTGTGCATCTCTTTCGCTGAAAAAAAGCACTCTGTGGCTGTCACTGTTTTGAGGATAATAATGCCATCTAGTGAGAGAAAAGGCTCAATGTCCTGTTTACATTCTCCCACAGGTACAATACAGAAGATTTTAGATTTATTTATGAAAACGGTTGCATGAAAAGTGCACTACAGGAAATAAAATGTCTTCTCATGAGGCCACTTTTTTTTTTTTTCTTAAAAGCAAGACGTTAACAGTTTTTTCAGCAACACTTGAATATTCATTTGTATGGGAGGATTTTATTATCTCTTCTGGACTTGCCTATTATACACATATATTAAAAAGTTAATGTAAATAGATTTTTTTCTTATGGAATATTTTTCTATAAACACTAAATTTTTCACTAGTTGCCTTTAAAAAGCTATCTGAAAAGTGATTACAATAACAATTGATCAGATAAAAACAGGTTTCAAAATTGATTTTGTTTCTGTTATTTTGTTGACCCCAAAAGAAGCTGGCAGACACTCTGTCTGCCTGTTAAGTACTTTTTTTTAATCCATATATTACGATCATGCACTGAGAAATCAAAGAAAATATGAAATACACATTTATGTATGCAGGCAAACATTCCTGGGCTAACACATCCAAAGAAATCTAAGACCAAGGTTGAAAGTCCCAAACTTCCATGCAGACAAAAATGTCCAGGCAAAAGAAGAGAATATGTCTGCAAGAAGAATGGAGGTAGAGATGCCTTAATTATCTGTAAAGACCTCAAATAAGTCAGATGCTTCTCTTGTATATAACCCCTTTGCACTGCCGCAGCTCATAGCACAAGAAACACCAGTGTCAGCGTGGGGAGGAGTCAGCACCGTGCTGATGCATAAGGCCAGTACAATTAGAACACAGGTGCGTTGATTTGCTTTTTTCACTTTTGAGACCCAATCTGCTCAAAAGCTCAGATTGGTGAGCTTATGCTTACATTAGGCTAAAAACTATCAAAATTACAGTAAGTGGAGTACTCGCAGAGGAGGGATGCAAACATGAGAGGTAAAGATGTGCTGAGATTCTGCGGCTGACCCCAGTGGCAGAGAAGCGGGGCTCAAGGCTCACCTCCCTCCTCAGCTCTGGGGGAGCCTGCACGCATCCCTCTGGGCAAGATGGCCCAGGTAACAACAATGGTAAGGCAGGAAAGCGAACATAAATCGTGTGGGGGAATAAAATGCCTGTAACTGTTCTGGGAGAAAACTGGTAATGCTAAGAGCAAGTTAGCAGTGCCAAAACTTGCCTGAGACAAGCATCGGGTGGGTTAAAATGTAACTGGGAGACTTTTGGAAAAAGGTGTCAGCTTGAAAAGAAGCATAGAAGAAGCTTGGCCACTTGGCAGCTGTTGAGAATTGGGATCGGAGCAGCGGTCAGGGGGGTTGGCACAGCCAGAAGCTGTCCTGTGTGGGCACCACCACCTCTGCGAGCTGCCCCCATGGCACCGTGAGCATCCCACCCACCTCCTGCACCCATCCCGCAGGGGATGCAAGGTGTCCACCTGTAACCCACACTGCCATGAGGGTGAACGTAACAGCGAATGTGTTCATATATGTGTTTGGGATGAGCTACAGAAAAGTGCTTAGAAATCCACAGCTCATTATTAACGTCTTGTGTCTGGTATTGGGGTTTATCTTTTGCATTGCTCATACTGATCCTGAAAATGTAGTTCACTGATTGCCAGTAACTTGCTGTTAATAAATCAATAGGCCCCTTTGAGCTTGATTTAAAACACGTGAGTTGACCAGTTTTTCCCTGAGACAGCAATACCCTGTTCACCACGGTAGATCTGAGCAGCTCATTTGGACACTTGTACCTTCCTACACAAGGACTGATGCATCTTCTCAGATGTATGAATTGCTCTGGGTGTTAGGACACCTTCAAGTTCATTGTTGCACCACCTACACCACATATTTAGCTCCATGAAAGCAGTGGGTACCCAGCAATGCCAGAAATAAACTTCTGGCAAATACATATATATTTGTCACTCAAGATTTGCTCTTTTACTCTGACAAACTGTAAGAAGGATCCCCTGACAGAATTACAACTTCACAACTCACAGCTGTTATTCATGCTCTATAAAATGTTACCAACATCTGCTACCGTAGCTAAATGCAGTACTGCAATGGAATTTTAAGCTCAGATGTAAACAAACAAAAATTGTTTCCAAACAATGGCATAAAATAAAGCTGAAATAACCCTGAGTATTTCAAAATCTAAAAGGGTATAAATCAGTTGAAATTTTATAGGATGAGATGCATAGGAGAACAGAAAACTTCAGTTTTCCTAATTTAATTCTTATGTGTGCGTAAATTCAAGGTTTTCAACTGTTGTTTGTATTTTTCATCTGTTTCTATGTCATGTTGGCATTCCTGGTCCTTATATTTAATATTCACAGAAAGACAGGTGCCCCTTCACATATTGCCTTAGGATCTGTCACTTCAGAACTGCCACAGGCACATTGACAGTCACATCCAAAAAGGGATGTCCTGGGTCACCGAGCCAGACTTGCAGGCATCTCCTGTGTGGGCTCATGTCGCGTAGCACTCAGGCTAGCAGCCACCCTGACCTGGCTGGCAAGAGGAACATACGTGCTTGCCCTGGGGCAGCCAAATGACTCCAACTGTTCTTTCCAGCATCTGGAAATAGCTTTGATCAGTGAAAAAGCATCAGTTCTTGCAATGCAAACACCTAAAATTTAGAAACATCTTGTGAAACGCTTGAAGCAATGTAATCACTGCCACAAGGGATGCTAATGCAAATGTGCACATACACAGTGCAAATACACAGTCTGATTCTTACAGGCTGCAATGGATCTCCACTCCCCATCTTTTGTTTCCTTCAGTACCA